GCCCGGAACTGGAGCTCAGAGCCTGAGACTCCCTCCCGATTGAAAACGACAACCACGCCCTCAGCCGCCAGCCCTCTCTGCATGCACTCCGCACCTTAGTATTTTACTTCAGCACTGCGCCTCCTCTGAGTCTTGGTATGCTTTTCTCTTTCCTCCTAGTTGTAGAACTTCCACTCAGCCAGCCTTCCTGTGGTTCTGGATGATGTCCGTTCCGTCTTTTAGTTGTATTTTTGAAGTGGTTGTTCGAGGCAGCAAACTCTGGTGTTTACCTATGCCACCATCTTGGTTTCTCCTCTATTTTATTTTTTAGATTATTTTAGCAATTGCCTACTTAGGTGTGACAAATTCTGTTCTGTAGAATAGACTCTTACTTCCTTATTTGACTAATGTTTTGGAAAACCAGTACAGTTTTGGCATCTTTTCTTTTCCACATAAATAACCTCGGAACCTACTGATACCTGTCAGACTTGATCACCCACTACATCCCCATATTTTTGGCCTGGATGAGCACAAAGTCTTTTCAGTTAAAAACCTTACTGGGAATGAAAGGCTTACCTGTTTGTTGTTTATTGCCCTGGTGCAGTTTTGTGCAGAGTCTTTATCCAAAAATAAAATAAATGCAACACCTTTACTCTTCCTGGTATCTTTATCTTTCATTATAGTAACCCTTAAAAGCATAAACAAATAATTAAAAATAATGAAGCAGCAATAAATAAAACAGTTATTAATAACTTGGAAGACACCTGTATTCAAAACGGGTAATAAAACATTTACATAGTAAGAACAATGAGTACATTTGACAAATATCTTATCTCTTCAAAGTTATGGGATATCAAGAATGGAAATAAGAAAGTATGATACTGATTTAACACTAGTGAACACAGGTATGATTAGGAGTATCTGACAAATCAAACTGTAATCAGGGGCTTAAGGATGAAGCAGAGATTACAGAGACAATGGGATCTTGAAGACTCAGCATAATTCCTCTTCTCTACTAAGTCTTTGTAGAAAAAAACAAAGTATTCTCTTAACACAAAAAGTAAAACTACTTATTTTTTTCTAGGTTTTAGACCAGCCATGGGCAAACTATGGCCCGCGGGCTGGATCCGGCCCGTTTGAAATGAATAAAACTAATACCTTTTTAAACATAACTTTCCTTTATTGGTTCTAACAAATTCATATTTGTATACTTCATTTTCTTCCTGTGATTAAGTCAGTCCTCTGAAACATTGACTATGCCCATCCATGCTTTTGTTCCGGTCCTCCGGTCCAGTTTAAGAACCCATTGTGGCCCTCGAGTCAAAAAGTTTGCCCACCCCTGTTTTAGACTCTAACTACATTCTTAAACTTCTTTTAAAGACTCTCCAGCTCTGTGGTTCTTAGCCATACCACCCAAAGTACGTAAGTGGTAAGAGCAGAGTCTGCTCTTTCTTCTGATCCCTTACACATCCTTAGTTCTTTTTATCCATCATTATATGTCATTAATATAGTTTTAAAGACAATGTTCAACAGGGCTCTTAGGAGAAATGACTGATTCTAAGGCTGGGATAGGGTATAAGGTGAACTATTTTAACTAGAAATACTTTCTCCATCTTTCTGCTAGCCTCTAGTGAAATCTAGTTATGTAAAAACTATGCCTCATCTCATCTAATAATAAAAGGGTAATATGCTAATTAGACCGGACGTCTTCCGGATGTCCTTCCTGACGAAGCCAGGGCAGGGGGAAGCCAGGCCGGGTCCCGGGTGTCTGCAGACGGCCCGAGGGAAGCCAGCCTGGGTCTCGGTGTGGCCGGAGGCCGAAGGAGGGAAGCAGCGTGGGTACTGGGTGTCTGCGGATGGCCTGAGGGAAGCCACCTGGGTCCTGGGAGCCTGGGGGCAGCTGGAAGAGGAAAGCATTCTGGGTCCCAGGTGCTTGCCGGTGGCCGGAGGAGGGAAGCCTGGGTCCCTGGTGCCGGAAGGAAGCTGGTGCTGGCAGCCGGAGAAAGGAAGGCCTACTATTTCATGAATTTTCATGCATTCGACCTCTAGTGTATTATAATAAACACTCCTTTAAGGTTGTTTCTATTATGTTAAAAGAAAAAGATAGATGCAAATGGGAAACTAGTTTCTCAAAAGAGTACATCTATTTGTTTATTCATGTTGTCATTCAGTCACTCAATTAGCTGCAAGTCCAGGCACTAAACATTGATAATATAAAGGCAGTAAAGCAATGTCACTCCCTCATTTAAAATTCTTTAATGGATTCCTGTTGTTCTTAGGATGAAAACCAAGTATCTTGTAACTTGGCCAAAAAGCAAGATTAGGAACCTGCTTCCATCTCTTGGCATTTCTCCCTCTTGTTCACTCATCTCTGGTCATATTGGCTTTCTCTCTGTTTCATGATGTCACTTTATTTTCTCTTGCCACAGGGTCTTTGCACAAGCAGTTTCCTCTACTGAAAATGTTTCTTCCACTTGCTTTGCCTACTAAACTCTCACTCAGTCTTTAGTTTTCAACTCAAAGGATCCTGACTTAGGCAACTCTACCCTCACTACCTAGACTAGATCAGGTCTTCCCTGTTATAGGTCCTTACAATTCTGTGTCTTTAACTTCATAGCATTCTCATAATTATATATTTGTATGGAAATTCATTTGGCGATTCTGACATACAGGGACAAAACAAGAAAAGGTAATGGTAGGGTTAAGGGAGTAGGCTCTGGAATCAAACTGTCGGATTTAAATAATCTCCACTACAAACTAGCAATATAATTTTAAGTTTACTGTGTGCTTCAGTTTTGTCATTTATAATAATAACAGGATAATAACAGTATTTACCTTAAAAGGCAGTTGTCAGAATTTAATTGAGTCTTTCAAGAAAATTGTACATGTTTACATATATAGAAAAATGACATATATATGTAAAAATGTTAACAATAGTATTTTCATTTACTTTGTTATATCAAATATTTGTTTTATAAAGTATAGTAAATTGACTACCATTAAAAATAATGGAGAAGTAAATTAAGACAAACTTTTAAATGAAGTTTCAAAATTTTATGCGAATACTTACTTTACAACTTTGCCATACTTGGAAAATATCTGAAACAAAGTAACACATACCAATTTACAATTTAATTTAAAAATCACACAAAAACATTAAATTTTCAGGTTGCATACACTTGCCATATTCTTTGTTATAGTTTATGAAAAATTTTAGCCTTTAGTCTGTAAGATAAATTTTTTTAGTGACTAGAATAATATTTTTAATTTTGTTATTGGAGTCCAGGTATCTGTCTCAGTTTCTAAATTTCTGACAAACGAGCACATACAGAGGAAAAAACCCACTCTTCAGGTGTGGTAGATTGAAGGCACACACATACAGTTGCTGTGTTACTGTGATATACCCATGGCAACTATCAACTCCACCACAGCTCCAAAGAATCCTTGTATTTCAAATAACAATGTTGTACAATATCATGATTCCCAGCCTGCTCCCACCCAATCAAGCAACCTGTTTCAGAAGACAGATCCTTAGATTGCTTATAAAACAAAACTTAAAACAAAGCTCCAGTAATGAAAAATCCATTCCCCAAATCTCTTTCTGCCCCCCCTTAAAGTATTGGTGAAACTTTATAGTTGGCCCTTTCTTTTCTTCTACTTCTACATCTTCACCCTAAGCAATCTCACAATTTCACTTATTGTTTCAGCCAATACTTACATACTAACTAGAGGCCTGGTGCAGGAAGTTCATGCATGGGTAGGGTCCTTAGGCCTGGCTGGCCATAGGGCCAATTGGGGACTTCCGGTTGCTGGCCAGGGCATTCCTTCGTTCCATTCTGCCCCATGGAGGTCAGCACACATTGTAGTGAGAGATCGAACTCCCTGTTAACTCCCGAGGGGACACTTTGCATATTAGCCTTTTATATATATACTAGAGGCCCAGTGCACAAAAATTTGTACAATCGGGGGAAGGGGAGATCCCTCAGACCGGCCTGTGCCCTCTTGCAGTCTGGGACCCCTCGGGAGATAATGACCTGCTGGCTTAGGCCTGCTCCCGGGTGGCAGAGGGCAGGCCCAATCCCTAGGTGCAGCCCCTGGTCGGGCTCAGAGCAGGGCCGATTGGGGAGTTGGGGCACCGCCCCCTGTCATGCACAGAGCAGGGCAGATTGGGAGGTTGCGATGCCACCCGCAGTCACGCTCAGGGTAGGGCCGAATGGGGGGTTGGGGCCCCGCCCCCTGTCACACTCAGGGCAGGGCGGATCAGGGGGTTGGGGCGCTGCCCTCTATCACCCACAGAGCAGGGCTGATCAGGGGGTTGGGGGCGCCGCCACTCTCATACTCAGGGCAGGGCCAATGGGGAGGTTATGGCTCTACCCCGTCACCCCCAGAGCAGGGCCTGTGGGGGGCAGGTGGGTTGGGGCGCCGCCCCCTGTCACACACAGAGCTGCAGGGCAATCAGGGGGTTTGGGCGCTGCCCCGTCACGCTGATACCAGTGCCGGGAGGCCTCGCGGCTCCGCTGATCCCAGTGCTGGGAGGCATATTACCCTTTTACTATATAGAATAGAGGCCTGGTGCATGGGTGGGTGCCGGCTGGGTTGCCCTGAAGGGGATCCTGGATCAGGGTGGGGGTCCCCACTGGGGGGCCTGGCCAGCCTGGGGGAGGGGATGATGGCTGTTTGCAGCTGGTCACACACCCTTCAGCGTGGGGGTCCCCATTGAGGTCCTGGCCAGTCTGGCTAGGGGCTGAGGGCTGTTTTCAGGCTGGACTGAAGCTCCCAACCGCTCCGTTTTTTCGTTTTTCTTTTTATTTTATTCTGGGCCAGCTTTAGCTCTGAGGCCTTGCTGTTGAAAACAGGTTTCTGACCTTTGTTTACCGGCTGTATGTGATACAATGTTGCGGTCCGGCTGGCTGAAGCTCCGCTGAATAAAGCAGGTTTCTGGGGTTTTTTTTAGCTTCTTTATTCGCAACATAGTTGCTGAGAGTTGCAGCTGAGAGGCTGGCAAGTCAGGCGCAACATAGTTGCTGAGAGTTGCAGCTGAGAGGCCGGCAAGTCAGGCGGGGGTTGGAGTTCTCTCCTCACTGAATCAAGCCTCCCTGTTCTCATCAGCTGCCTGGCTGCCAGCCACCATCTTGGCTGCCACTTAATTTGCATATCTCGGCCCTACTCTGTGAGTGACAGGGGGATTAGCCAATGGGAAGGGTAGTGGAGTGACACTAATCACCATGTTTCTCTTTTATTAGTGTAGATAGATAGTTCCTATTATATATTGTTTCTTAGAAAAGTGTTTTTGAATATATTAATATATGCAACCAATGATAATAAATTTTGAGTCCTCTGAGTAATTTGTGTAATGCTGGAATGTGGTATAACTGGATTGCTGTGTAGCCACACTGAATTCTGAAGGCCAATACAGACAGCTTTCCATATAACACTTTCAAAGGCTTCTCAATTCACTCAGAGTCCTTACCATTATCTGTGTAGGCCTTATAAGGCATCCCTGCATGGGCTTACCTCTGACAGCTTCTCTTCTTCTCTTCACTTGATTTACTCTGTGCCTGAAATGCTTATCCCCTAGACAGCTGCCTTTACTTCCTTCAGGTCTTTATTGAAAAGTCACATTCTCAATAAGGCTTTAGAACACCATGTCAAATTTCACCTCCATTCCCAACCTAACATTTAATAACCCTCCTTTCCTGTTTTACTTTTCTCCTTAGCCCCTAACATCTTAGCATTAACTTTGTATTTAACAAATAACATCATTCGACTTTTTTATATTTCACATTGTCTATCCTTTTATTGTGAATGCCAAGAGGGATTTTTCATCTTTTTGATTGTTGATGTGTTCCTACTATCTCTAAGAGTGCTCAGCATACAGTAAGTGTTCAATAAATACAGAAATGTCTCTTTTGTAACAAGCAAAGAAGCTAAAGTTCATTTTCTCCTCTGTTCTTTGGGATTAAAACTATCTTAATTAATTAATCAAGCAATATAGACGGCAGCATCTCTCTACTTAACGTCTACCTCAAGTAGCACAGAGAAAGAGGGTACACTAGGAAGAAAGGATTCATGTCATTCCTTCCAGTTTTTCTCAACCACCCATCTGCAGGACAGGCATTGCAATGTACTTAAGAATTTTACCAAGGAGAACTGTTTGCTTTTGCTACAATTATTTCTCAAATAGATAATTCAGAAGATAATAGTACTATTAATAAAACTTACCCGGTATAAGTCATTGTTGGTCAGGGAAAAGGGCAAGTTGGATACATACACTGTACTTTTACTTGGGGCCAATCCACCACTCATTTCTAAAAAGAAAAACAAACAGATCCAAAAGCAATCTAAGCCAGGATAGTCTTCATTCCAAGTAAGACCCAATAGGGGCAATCACTGATTTAATTATGCCAGATTCATACACCTTCCTTACTGCTTAGCAATAGCGAATAATGACCCCCCAGTTGGGTGGATTAAGGAATTCCTTTTCTCCAGACACCACTTAAGAGAGTTTTCTGGTCCTATTTCAAGTGGATTCTTCACACTAATTAACCCTTTTAGTGCCGGCCTACAGTGTGAATTGGGAAGTGCGGTTTAAACAGATGATAGAAAAACCCGGACGTTACTAATCTTCCCTCAGGCTGAGAGCAAACAGTGCTTTCAAATATGTGTAAGACTTCGCATACACACAGCGGGACGAGCCTGGGGCCGCAGAAAGAATGTCAGCCACTGATTTCCACTCATACTGTGGCTGGGTACCTTTCTGGTTGTCTTACTATTTTTCTCTGGAATGGCACGAAGAGGACATTTTAGCCCCACATTTGGATGCACATAAAGTTCAGCAAACTTCCTCAAAGTCCCATCTGGCTCCACCACGGTCCAATTTTCGGTTTCAGAAGCGCGTGTGCTATATCTTTAAGACGGGGGTTCCGAACGCTCACAAACGACAAAACGCGGGTTCGAAGGCGAGCCGGTTCGAAGGGCCGGGCCAGACGCTCGGGGGGATGGACGCGGACAACGTCAGAAAACTCACAGCGATAGCGCTCGTCTGACAAGGCTCCCGCTGGAAACGCGTCGGCCGTGCTGGTGGGGACCGCGCAGGCGGCTAACGGGGAAGGTCCGGGCATCCAAAGGCCCGTCCTGTCGGCGGCGGGG